TTGAGATACTGAAAAACCGTCCTAAGCAGCACTCGGGATACGTGTGCTGCCCCTACATTTTCGTATGTCCTTGATTTCTGTTGAAGGTCACTTTCGTGGTCCACTATAACAGTCCGCTCGTTACCATTACTGGCTCGGTCCCGTTGGTTTAGCCGATACGTAGAGAAGCAGATTCCTTAAGGGATGACGCTTACCAAATAGTACTGGTTTAAGAGCAGAATAAGAACTGAATTTTGACCTCAAATAGCAGCCCAGGAAAACGACAGTGTGTATGCACTGGTGTAGCCATCTACGAGGCCAGTCAGATCGCCGCCGCCAAAGCCAAAATGGAGGCTCGCAAGTTACAAGTGCCTCGCCTTCAGAATGCCAACAGACAGCAGCTTCCGCCATGTCCGCGCTGTTAGAGCACATTTTGCGCGCGAATCAGCCTCGTAGGACGTTTTCGGACGCAATGCGCAACCCCTGTTCTCACTCCCACCGCAGACCCCGTGACGACGACCCTTTTACCATTGATGGCCACTCTGCTGCTGCCCGTCCTATCCCAGACCCTGCGCCGACCACAGCGACCATCTCCGCCAACAACGAAGCATCGCTCATTGCCCGCAACAACGAGACGACGTCTGAAGTCCCATCATCTGCTACCACCACCGGCTCCTCTGCTACATGTGAGATCTGAGTCTGGGAATATCACGGTACGCCAAGTGTCGTGGCTCGGAAGGCTGCCGACTGCCGCCTCAACTCAGTCCATGCAGTCTACCCAGTTGTATGTAATTCTGTGGAGTGGCGGACTTGTGAGCTGAGAGTCAGTCTTCAATGACTCCTCAGTGTGACCTCTGGCACTGTAGCGCATGTGATGTGTGTGTACATGGGCAGTGCCTCTCAGTCGAAGACTGATTGGTTACCCAGCCTTCAAAGGATAATGGCCCAGGCAAATGCATGGCTGCGTGTCACCCTTCCAGGATTCAAGGATGGTAAGCGTCTGCAATGTCATGATTCAGCAAACCATGACCCTCGCAGCCTGGTGGGCGCAGGCAATTCTCTGCCACCTGATTCCCTGGCGGTAGATGCGCTTGCGCTCCCACCGGGTATACAGGTCATGAGCATGATTGTCCAGTCATCCCCATCCCTCTGGCCCGCTATGGTACTGTTGTCAGTTAAAATCCTGGTCATGTTTGTTGTGGACCAGGCGGGGCGGAGATACGCCATGGTGCGGCCGAATTATCAGTCCTCTTGTCGTAGGCATGGATAATCTATGGAACCCCGACGAGGAAGCCGAACCACATCTGTTTCAGTTGTCTCCGTTGGACCCTAAAGAGCAGATAGAAGGGCAGGATCTCGGATGCGGAAGGTCCCGGATCCTAAGTGCTCACGTCATGCTGAGGCAATAGCGCTGGATCGGCCAACTTGCAAGGATGGATGAGGAGTCCCCACCCAGGTGACTCTTCTGCAACGATGTTGCTACGGGTGTTCGCCGACGAGGGCAAAGAGGACGCTATCAGCGCAGTCCCTCAGGCTTCTGTCACGGACCTGAATATCACATGGTATGATCTCGCTCAAGAACGATCGGTCCGAAGAAGAGCAGCGAAAATTGGAGCAGCAACTTACGAGGCCAACTGCATCGCCGTTAACAAACCTAAAAGATCGGCTCGCAACTCGCAAGCGCTGCTGACCTTTGACTCAAACACTCCTCTACTTCCTAAGTTTCCACCTAGTCGCCGAGTATTCCGCATGCTGATCGGCCTCGTCGGACATCTTCGGACCCAATTCCATAACATGACAACACCTACTGGCTCCGTTGTCACTCCCGCCGCGAGCACCGCTACGGCGACGACCACCACTGGTGAGCAAAATCCCGACGCCGTCGACGCTTACCACTGTTCGACCGTCGTTGCTGACGATGTCTACCGTGTGTTCCACAGCAAGGTGAAACGGCCACAGTGACTTGCGCGTGAAATAGTCCGTAGTGAGAGCGGACTTGCACCGCATCTTCCGCACATTCTCCTCTCCGTTTAGGTCCGGTGTCAGACGTAGTCGAGAAGGCCGGAGACGAGGAAGGGTACAGGTGGCTGGCATGGCCGGGCCCGCACCTAGACGTACCACCACCCTCCCTGGTCCACAATAAATTATTGACTAGGATTTAAACTATCAACAGCACCAAAACGAGTCCGAGGGACGGGGCTGACTGAGCAGCCATGTTCACAACCTGCATACCCAGCGGGAACGCAAGCGCATCTACCGGCAGGGAACCAAGTGACGGAGTATTGCCTGCGCACACCAGGCTGCGAGGCTCATCGTTTTCTGAATCATGGAATAGGAGACGCACACAGTCCGTTTTGTCACGCGTACAACCACTGTCATCATCATCTACTCACACGTGGACGACTAACACCCCTATAACTCCCACAGCCGGCGAGCACTCCCGACGCTCCACCAACCACCGCTCCCACAACCAGCAATGCGGACGCGCTGGGAGACTGTCATTATTGCAATCGCACCTTCACGTCACGCACAGGCCTGGTCAGTCAGGCACGGAATCGTCGCACTGAGACCGGCGAACGAGTACCATAAACCCAAGCATACAGTTCGTGACCTATCTCATGAAAAAGCACGGAGTGCGAACTAAAATCATGATAGCGCACGAACCGCCCACCACGGATCCACGAACATTATACTGGGCTAAAGGTAGGACTGAAATTCAAAATAAGCCAGTTTGGTGTAGTGCTTGACGAACGAAATCGTCGTTTTCTGGACTGTTTTGGTCCAACTTGCTTAGCTTCAGACGCTGCTTTGTTATTAGTAATTCTCTACGGAGCGACCTGACCAATATTCAGTCAGTCAGTATCAGTTAGTATATTTGGAGTAAACGACAGAAGCCCTGAAAACTCCATTTAGAGGGTACAGATGTAAAGGGAAATAGTTAAATTGCGAAACTTTTGCTTGCAGTTTTGGTAAGGAGAATTCACAAATCTAGTAATGGAACATAAATGCGAAAGGGGTATGGTATTCGTGAAATAATTGCGAAAAACTTTGTTCACCGCATTCGGACTGTGAAAATATCCATGAGTTAAGTTTGACGCACAAAAAGGGATCTGTTGAAATCGTGTTAGTAGTATATTTATAGCCATTTCAGTAATCCGTCAGATCAGGCTTCGGCAATTCGGGCTGCCTTTCAGCAGGTGAGTATCCAGTTGTCTCTTGAAGACGCTCACGGTAGGGGACTTAACAACCTACTCCGGCAAAAAGTTCCATTGAGAACACTAGCTAACGACTCACGTGGTAGCCCGTCGGCTGTCAATTTGCGTTTGCGCTCAAAGTCAGCTTCCGATAAGACTTGCTTCGACGACTGTGTTGCACGGCGTGGGACAGAGATGACAGCATGTAGCACGCAATCTGTATACGTGTTTACGCCTACTAATTCCCGGTGTAGTAAAACAAGCATTGTCGACAAGCCCATTACTGCGTTTAACGCCATACTACGTTGCAATTTGGCTAGATGGAATTTTTAAAAGCAAATCTTTTCTTGTTTCACGAGAAGAATGCGCTTCTGCGTACCTGTCTTGGCCCGATTTATGTGAACTCGAAATCACAATTTCCGTTTCCCTAATGTATTCCTTTGATATTTTTCTTGGTTATATAAATGTTCCTTTACATCGCAATGCGCACAAGATATTTTAATAGGCGATACTTATTAGCAAAGGATATTACGTGGATGTCCGGAAGCGTTAAATTATGTCCGACCTTTGCCTGTTATCCCTCAATAAAACAGAGCTAACGCGAATTCACCCTCACAAACGACCTTCTGGCATTCGAATTAATTCTACAAACAAAACTAACCACACCAATTGTATGCCGTGCCACCAACTCTAATACCAATCTCGACATTTCATGAGATAGGTCATCTACCGTACATCCATCGCACCCACCTTGACTGCCGTCACCGCCCACTCACTCACACTCGCTAACCGCAAGGGCCAACTCGGATACGTCAGCCTCCATGAAGATGTGAGGCAAACCGCCGCAGAACAAACTCCAGCATCACGTATTTCCCCCATAGCTCACATATCACACGTGAACCCGACCCATATCGCCCACCACAGGCACTTTTCACATATGTAAGTGGGAAGTGCGTCTTAGGACCCCTTCTCCACGTGACCACTATGCTACTAGGCGGCGTGCGAGGTCCTAGCCGCCCATTCCCTTCTTACGAGACCTGCCGTGCGGCAACCAAGTCGCGTGGGCCACGCGTAGGTGGAGCATCTCAGCTTTCAGCCATTGTGCTCCACCTGAACATCAGATTACTGGCCGGATCAGACAGTGTGCGGGTACCCCGGAGAAGTAAGAGTGAGGTGGACCCTAAGGACTCCTTGCTCCCGGGGCACTCAGCGCATATTCTGCACTGTAAACGATTTGACACATTGGTAGGGGGGCGCTCACCGAGCGTTCTTACGGAACTCACTCGTTCCGTTGTGCCTTACGAGCTTTCTTTCGAGCCCAACCAGCAGCCGCACAGCGGCGCATGACATAGGCAGAATGGCATAACCAACAAAGACAAGGGAGACTGGAATGGCCATTTACGGCTTATTAGCCGTCGTCAGCCAGTCATACTCAATCCCCAAGTGTGGAACATCCGCGGCTCGAACTCGCGACCTGTTAGTTTGAAGTCCACTGGGCCACGAGCCCGTTGCCCTGTCGATTTTCGATCGGGAATATACACACATTTCTAAACTATCAGGATGCGCTAAAGGCCCTGGCTTAGGACGCTGGCAACTGGCAGGATAACACAATCCGACCTGCAGGATAGGCTGCAATGGCTCATTTTCAATATGGCGTCTGTGGCGCCACCACTTAGTTTAGATCCGTGCCGTCCTCTCCTTGTTGCTTGTGTGAAAACTTGGCCCACGGTGGGCGGACCAGCGGGTGTGACACGCACAGACGGGCTGTTTAGCTTTGTCAGCTACTGCACTAGATTACGCCTCCGTACTCCCTAACTCTGTTTCGCCACTGGACCCAGGGGGATGACAGAGAAGAGATAATGTAGCGGATACTGCGCGAGTCTACTATCACTACGAGCTAATTCACGCGCAGGCTACCGTCCATGCGCCTACCCTACTGTGGGGCACACGGCGGACATCATCGGTAATGACGGCGGGACCCCCACGCACTCGTACCTTCACAATAACGGCGACGGGTCGCTTTTTGTGAGAAACAAATACAGCGACGACTAGGCACGTGTAGCATTGTTATACAACGAAATGATTGTGTTGGCCTACGTATATTAAGCAAGGGCTGGGGTAGTCGGCGCAGGAAATAAAAAAGAGGTGGCAAGTCTCCTATCTGCACAACATCTAATATGTGGCCGCCGCACGTTGCTTGCGCAGGTCGTCCATGCAGCATACACTCAGAGGTGGACTGGTTGTGATTATTTATTACACCGAGTAAGGCCAAGGCTCCGACAATCGGCTTCTTCAATGCAATCCAACCTGTGTCGGAAATTAAAAATCAGACTGCATGCATTATCAACGCACATGTCACGGAACAAATGCTCTGCGTATTAAGATCTTTTGACTGGTAATTGTACAACTAGTCGAAAAACTCTCAGTTGGCGAATTTACGGCAAAAAACGAAATGTAAACCGACGAAGTGGGCAAGGTTATTTTGCGAAGAATGGATCCAAAGTTCTCATTCAAGTTTCCGGTATTCTTGGTAGGTCCAACAGATCTTTTTCAACCACGTAAAAAAAGTAAAAAATAGGACAGTGGGTTTTTAAAATGCATAAGGCGGCGACTATAAAAAAAATTCTGATGGATAACTATACATTGCACGGGGCGAGGGGAAAAGATGCACTCAGTCAGATGGATTCGAATTTTGAAAACTTTTTCCTCAGTTCGAGTGTCAACTCCGTTTCTACTGCTTCCTCCTCGAGACAGTCCCGCCAGTTCACTCTTGAAGGACAGTTGAGAATCTCCGGGGAGGCCAGAACTGCCCTACAATGAAGTCAGACAATAAAACAAAGTAAACGGAAAAAACGTGCAAACTGAAATATTAGGCTATATGGGGAAAATACCAAAGTCGATACAGGGGTCTCTTCAAGAATTCCCTTAGCATTGCTAAAACTCGCAGAAATGAATATGCTATTCCAGCGTTTTTCAGGAGAATGAGTAAAATCGATGCAAAAATGGCATGCGAAGACAGCGGCCCAGCAAGTTGGCTGTTCGCGAAGAAGTGCTCAACAATATGTAGGGCGGATGATAAAGTGGAGACGCCGAGGTTGTTTTACAGACATGCTAATTTGGTGGTGGGGACACCCGGATATGAATGAAAAGCGCAACGCTAAACTGAGAGATATTGGAATAGTCCCGTCCAGTTTCCAAGTCGAAATCGGTTATCCAGCAAGACCGGCCAATCAGCTGAGGGCGATTAGGGGCTTTATTGCCCTATGTACTGAGAAACAGCCTCACGACTTATTCTATGTGACCGAGATATTAAGTATAGACAGTGGCCCTAACGATCTGGCCAAAGGGACTAACGACCAGCCTTGAATACGATACCAGAGGCACTGAGAAATAACTTGAGCAGAAAAGACAAGATCGCTAAAAGCGGACAAGGGCGCAGCTAAGAGTACCAGGAATGCTGATCGCAGACATAGGGTTTTAGACATGGACAAACTCACCTCCCGAAATTTATGTCTGAAGAAGCAATCTGATCCTTTTCAATAGTATTAAATAACTTCTCCCCTGTAGGCAGCTCCACGTAGAAATAAGGCACGCCTGGTCTGGAGAACTAACCAAGAGAAAACAAGGTAGAGTAAATGCAGGGAAAAGTTTTAAACTTGAGAGCAAAGAACGACAAGAACATCAGCTAGTTCAAAAACAATTAACAGGAAGCATGCAAAATCTGGAGTCCCCAGACGGGCATCAGAGCGAGGGAGGGGGGAACAGGCG